GAACTCAAGTATATGCTGTTGCCTGCTATGTAGCACTTTTATAGCCCACCAAGTAGATGTCTTCAGGTCACCAGTGACAGGCCCTGACTTCCCTCCGACCATCATTCCAACGAAGAATGAGCTTCGACGAAACCAGAAGAGCTCAGCAGCAACCAGACAAGTTCTGCAGTGTCATCAGCAGGGAACAATCCAGCACTGCAAACACTGCACACCGTCTCTCCTGCTCTGAAAGACAGTTACCAGAGATGGAGCCCAACATCACAGACCAGATGAACTCAGCTTTATAGGGATTAGTCCATGCACTAAGGAATGACATCTCCCTCTTTGTGTGTGTGTGGATGTATATATATATATATATATATATATGAGACAAGAGTGATGGTATATATTGAAAAATATGGGATCTGAGCATGACATGAATGGTATGGAATAAGGGGTGGAGAGTTTCCTAGGTTCAGCAGTAGCAGTCATTTTTTCTCCTTAGTAGCTGGTGCAGTGCTGTGGTTTTGACTTTCATCCTGCAAACAACACTGATAAACCCGATGTTTTTAGTTGCTGCTAAGTAATGCTTACTCTGACCAAGGACTTTCTGAGTCTCATGCTCTGCCAGGGAGGAGAGGAAGTCAGGAGGAAGCAAAGACAGGACACCTGACCCAAACTAACCAAAGAGGTATTCCATACCACAGCATGTCATTCCCAGTATATAAACTGGGGGCAGCTACCTGGAAGGGCTAGATGGTTGACTGGGTCAGGCTGGGTATCGGTCGGCGGGTGGTGAACGGTTGTATTCTCTTCCCATGTTATTTCCCTTATCATTATTATCATTGGTGGTAACAGTAGTGGTTTTGTGTTATACCTGAGTTACTGGACTGTTCTTATCTCAACTTGTGGGAGTTAAATTCTTTTGATTCGACTCCCCATCTTTCTCTGAATGAGGGGAGGAAGAAGGAGGGAGGGAGTGAGAGAACGGCTGCGTGGTTCTGAGTTACCACCTGGGCTTAAACTACGACATTGATACATGCAACTACATGGCCCATCCTCTGGCCTTTGATGCAATTTCTACAGAAACCAACTGGTTATTTACATTTACAGAAGAAACCTTAAGACTCTTGCTTCACTCCTGTGTTCATGCTATTCTGTTTTTCCAAAATACCTAACTGAAACTGGGTTTAAATATCCAACAGCAAGCTCATAAATTCGGATTTGCTATATATATTATTTGCCAAATATATTCATTATGAATCAGGTCATGAACAAGCTTGGGAAAAAAGAATTTACAATTAGTACAAGCAAAGGACAAATGAAAGCTTCCAAGCTGAGCTAGTCAAACATTTACAGGTGTGAAGTTTACTTCTGGAAAATGCCAATACAGTGAAATACAAAATGTTCCTCAGAAACATGCCAATTCCATCAAAAACTTTTGAAGGACATTAGGTCTTGGAACCCATCTTAAGCTGAGCTCAGGAAGTGGAACTCCCCAACTAGCTCTGCAGGGGTTTCTCAAATGAGTTTCAGGTTTTACAACAGCAAAATACAGCGTAGATCTTTCTGTTACCTTATGCTTATGTTACTTTTTTATTTTTATTATTTGAATTTGCAGATGTTTTGGACTGATTTTGTTTTGGTGAGAGAATAAGACCAAAATTGCAATATTTAATATTTCATTTCTGGAAAAAAATTGGTAAACCAGTTATATGAAATAATAAAAGTAGACAAAAAGCAGGCTATTGTTTTTACCTATAAGACTTCTGTACCTGACCCTTCACTGCTACCTAAACAATCTCTAAACATGTATGCTTTAATTCTTATGGTACAGCATTTTCATGAATCCCGGGTACTCCTCTGTGGTGTGAAAAGATGACCTGATCATACTTTTGAATCTCTGAAACATACCTATTCAGATATAGACTCACATTTATCAAAATAATCCCAACTCTGCCTTGCAACATTAATCATTATCTCTCAGGATTATCTGTGGTGGCGTGACAAACAATTATTAATTCATCACAGCACAAAATAAGTTTGAAATGATCTGGATGAGGAGCAATGCTCACTGTATTCTGTTTCACTAGACACGGGTGTGTGACTTTCAAGAAGCTTCAGATTAATTGACAAATTTTCGATATATTTAGACTTCAATATCTCATTTCTGGTTGCAGCAGAGAGAAAAGAAAAGAATCTTCAAGTAGACAAACTATTACAGAAACAATGAGTCACCTGCACTTGACAGTGCTCTATAGGTATAAATTACAGCAGATCCATTATAGCAAATAGAACCATGTCAGTTCATAACAGCAAAAGATACAGCCCTGAACTGTCTCTGCGTGCCATTCTATATTCGCTGAGTTGACTTTTGATCCTGCACCCCACTTAGATCTCACAAATCAAATGTAGAGTATAATGCTCGTAATTTCCTACCATAGAACACTTTGTACAATCTAAAAATGAAAACTTTTATTCTTGGCTTCACTTTCTCTTAACTTTCCCAGAATAAAAGTTATTTTAGATCTTGCAGCAAAGACCAGAACAACTTCACTCTCTGCAGAAAGTTCATTGCTGAGAGACAGCATTGTAAGTTTCATGTTTATATGCAGGCAATAAAATGATGTTTTGTTTAGCCAAAAGAAGAGTTTAACTGAAGAGTTTAATTTTCTGAAGATCAAGAACATCTAAGTCTAATAATCTGATGTCAGAGTTATACATAACACCAATAACATGTATTTTTTTCCTGAAATCAAGATGAAATAGCATTTCAATTGTGAGGTCAGGTATTCTATAAAACACAACTTCTTGCAAAATTTTTTTAACGGTGGTCATGTATATGTATCATGTAGATATATAGCCAGGTCAATATGCATGCAAAATTGATGTTATAGGGGCAGACCAGTGACTTTGCCTGTACTCGAGAAGATGGACATCCGCAACTCGCTCCCAAACAGTCCATCCTGACCTCCTATGTGCTGTTTACAGAAGAGGCCCAGCACCAGCTTTCTGTCCTGGCTCTTTGGCTTGGGAGCAGAGGCCAAGCATTCATTCTCTACTCACTCTGCTGCTGGACAGCTGAGAGCAAGTGCCACAGAGGCTGGATTCAAATGGACTTTTAGGTGGGAAAGTGAGGGGTGACAGCAATACAGGTGGCACTGTTGCAGAGCTCACTGTCTGCAGAAGTGGCCCAGCATCAGCTTTCTGTCCTGGTTCTTTGGCTGTGGGAGCAGAGGCCAAACATTCGTGCTCTACTCACTCTGCTGCTGGACAGCCGAGAGCGGGTGCCGCAGAGGTTGGATTCAAATGGACTTTTAGGTGGGAAAGCGAGGCACAAGCGAGATTCTTGTCTCACTGAGGGGAGAGTCACAGTGCATGTTTGTGTGAGGTGGCTCTACTTCAATTTACACCTTTGCCTCTATTAATACCAGGAATGGAGGCTGTGTGCTCCATGTCTATATGGAGAAATCACCTGTCAGTTTTCGCCCTATACTTTCCTCCCTCTGTAGTGGGATTGCACAAAAGCACAAGATTTTAGCTCATCCCAGCAGCCTGAAAGCTACAGTCTGATGAACAGAATAGCAGGAGTTGGCTGCACATGGCAAGCTAGTGCAAGACAGACAAAGGTTATATAGTAGGGGAGAACATGTGGGGCCTTCAGACTTTCCACTGAAATGCATTGGTCCTTCCAAGGTCATACACCTTACCTGACCATCCAGCTACACTGACTCCACTCACCACTGTTCGCAGACCCTTTCTTCCACTAACCTTCAAATCTTCTCTTTCTCTTACCCTCATCTCTGCCTCAGAAAATCTGCTGTACCAGAAAATTCATTGTTGCTGAAGCAACCAAGAACCCTTCAATTTCCTCTGAGAAAACAGTGAATCATGCCCTGTTGCTTGATTAATTTTGAGGATGCATATTATGAGTGAAAACCTTCGGGGAACATGTATGCTCTTATTTCCCTAGACTTATTACCAGGCCTTAAATAAGTAAAATATTTTACAGTAAAATAAGTTGCCAAAAGCTTTACTGGTTTATATTTAGTCATTTTAATAACAGTGTGTATTGATGCTTTGTATGTGGTAAGTGAACAATCCAACTATCACAGAAACTTACCTTAACCCAACAGTTAACATGGATCACAGTGAAAATGAAAAAATAGAATACAACACACATTCAAGCTTTATTAGACACACCATTCTAAGCAAAAAGCACAAGAATGTTATCTTACAGATCATATAAAACACAAAAACCTCAATGAGTCTGTAAGTCATCACTCAATCCCCAGAAGTACAAATAAGTGTAAATGCAAAAAAATAACAGAAATACTTGGTAAGAATGCTCAGGCTTTTTCCAACTGTTTGTTGTTTCCTCTTGCATAACTGTGGATCAAAAATGACATGCCTCAAATTCAAGTACCTTTTACAGTATGAGCAAATACCAGCAATCTATACTGGACAGCATCCAGATGCAGAAACTTAAAACCTAACACTCTACAGTAAAGGTCACATCTGCATTATAATACGTAATGCAAAAATAATACCTTGAAGCAGACATAAAATTTATTCATACTCACTTAGATTATCTTAGTGAAAATGAAAGCATATTATGATAAATATACAGTGCCATATCCCAAAATCCAAATATGGTCCCTTTTTTTTTAATGAGTTAAAGGAGCTTTAAATCAGCTTCCAGTTAGATCCTCACAAAAATATTAATCTTGACTAAAAGAACTCTGCATCACTGCTTTTGCTCTTTTTGTATCTATCAGATCTTCAGGAAACACACACTTTCAGAAGAGCGCAAGATTTGGTCAGTCCTCCACCTTCTGATATTTATGTAAGATCTCTAAGTACCAATGTATCTTTGGTTTTCTCTGCTTATGAAAACATTTGACATGGATCAAAGCCCATTCTTTGGTCTCAGGTATGTTGGAAAATGGGTGGAAATGGAAAAGCAACCCAGAGTGCACATAAAAGACAAACAGCTAACAACTGAGAAAACGAATACTTACCAAAGAAAATGGGAAACTGGTTGCGCTTCTCTTTTGGGGAACTACTGTTCAGAGTGTTTGACTTCTCATTTGGTGCAGTTGGCAACAAATTTACTAAAAGGAAAAAAAAAGTGGTGTGTGTGAAACTTTAAGCGATGGTTATCTAGACACACCAAAGCTCTGAAAATAACTTTCGATTGGTACCCATTTGTTTTGCTCCATTCCAGTATTAATACCACTAAAAGGCAGCAAGCATTTCTTTGAGTCCCAAAAGTGTAGGAAACTCATATGCTGAGGTATCTTTGGGATGGATTCCTTTTTCTTCTTTAATTTTACCAATGAACGTTTTAAATCAAACATGGTTGGTAAGGTTGTTTTTATGTAACTAGCAGACATTCTAACCTTTGCAATTGTAAGCCTTTTTCAAAATACATATTACTGACAAAAAAAAATGATTATGAAGTTATTTTTAATGTTTCTGTCTTCACTGTGCTTACAGATTTCAAATAACATATATATCTTCAAATAAATGGGAAAATGAATGGACGAGGAACATCTGCAATAAAGAAGGATAACTATAAACAGCAAAAGCAAATTCTTACCAAAAATCCCAGGGAACTGGTTGGGTTCTTCTACCGGGGAACTGCTGTTAGGGCGCTCTTCAGTTGGAACAATTGGCAATAAATATGCTAAAAGAAAAATGAAAGGAAAATAATAAGGAGAAACCCAAATTGGTACCAATGACTCAATATCACTAAGGTAAAAACTTTGTTCTATTTAAACTATGGCAATGGCCCGTAATCCTTTCTTTCTTCTTGAGTATTTATACAAATTTATGTGGAGGCATCATGTCAGATTGCAATTCATAGGAACTAGAAGGACAATAAAGTGGATGAAGATCTATGATCTGCCTGAATGGCTGCTCTGTAGCCTAAGTTGAACATCCAGATCATTCAGAAGTGAGGGACAGGTTTCTCATGATACTTTGGTGGGAAGCTAGCAACAGCAATAATGAATCCCTATACTGGCACCTCTTTTCACTATAAGACTTAGTCTGGAAAGAGTATATGCAGATGTATGTGTTAAAAAAATAAATTAGTATTTTATGATATTATAAAGCCAAGCAGCTGGCAAATTTTACATTAAGTAAAAAAGCAGGAGTCGTGTAATATTAATTACAGTTAATAGTACCTACGAGTTGGTTTAGTTTATATTTTTATTTCAAATGTATGTATAATTAATGTTAATTTCAAATATAAATTATTGCCACTTCAGGGTACCCTATTGTTGCCTTTTTTAACATGCCTGACATACAATATTGTATACCATTGTACAACATGCAATATTGTTTATACAAGAATAAAACTAATGAGGGCAGCAACTTACAGTTGCCTTGGCAGGTAGTCTGGCATTCTTCCAAATTCTTGAAGTTGTTCTGGTTTCCTAGGCACCCACCGTACTTGAATACTTCACATAACTTTGTCTCTTTGTTATAGAAGTACCTGGAAAAATAGCCTCGGCAAATTCCAGGGTCTTTCTCATGAAAGCAGAAGTTGGGCTTTTCTACAAACAATGGTGAATGATGAACAGGGTGGGGGAAGAAAAAAATCCACACGCATTCCAAGACAACAGTAGAACTGGAGGAAGTTTACAAAATAAACCTGTAACTCTGGACTAAAGAACAAATGTAAAGTAACTGCTGCTTTATTCTACTGCTTTTGTTCTACATATAACAGTACATTATTATGCTGGATCATTAGAGGGATATTTTTATTGCTTTTTATTCTCTTTTTAAGTAGCTGGTAAATTATATCTTGCAAATTAAGGAGTAATGATTCCCTTAAGTGTCCTCTTACGTTAAAGCTCTGAGGTAAAAATTAGTTTTTACTTTGAAATGAAATGAGATGTAAATCTCAGCTGGATCATTTGAATCTACGCACACATTCTTGTCATTTATGTAGGCATTTTAGTCAATGTTTGTGTGAATTATACAGAAAGCAGTGTTAACAGAGAAGGAAAAATTTCTAAAGAAAGAGCAAAAAAAAAAAAATCTAACATTTTGTCTGGTACAGTCTATTGCTATTAGAGGATACATGAAACTGGGAGACAGAGCAGCTATTCTTATGATCATTTTTCAGTCCCAGTTCCTTGTTTGCAGTCACACTAACTACAATGTCAGCCAATGACTTCTGTTAGAGGAGAAAACCACATAGACATACAATAATCCCCAAATGTCAATTTCTCAACATATTCAATTTTTTATCGAAATTGTATTCTTGAAAGAAATTAATGAAAACAGTAATTAAATATTTACAGAGGTATCCTGTAATTCTCACTAGCAGATACTTTGAAGTATGATTCTTGATTGAGCTGACTTGCAGAGAGGAGTGTACTTAGCCATCATATAGGACAATTGTATCAGACATGGCATGTAAAGGCCTCACCTGTGAAACTTGAAAGAATATTGAGAAAAAAAACAGTGTGCAGAGTGCTGTTATTTTAATAAAAATTACTACAGCATAATTACATTGAAGTTTGCAAATTTCTGAAGTAGATTATGGAGTTGCAAGGAAGTTAATCCTATTACATCTGGTTCATCAAGTATCTATTAAAAACCTGTTAGAATAAGAATGTTATTAAATTCAGCTAATGAACATCATATGTTTATATAAAACATTATAATAACTCATAATGTTTTTCCAAGAAATAATTGTCAATATCTTGTATTTCAATTGTTAAAAATCTTCATGAACAGTTAATGTAAATTTCAGAGATTTCATGTAAAATTAAACCATTAAAACATTGTTGTATAAAGTAACAAAATCAACTATTTTAAGCACTCCTGAATAGCTTGATTTTGATTTTTCACTAGAGTTTCATTCTCTGCCAGTGAGTATATGTATTCTACAACTCAGGTATTTCATGTTTCTTACTATTCAAATGCAGCACCTATTGTGCTGCATAAGATGTGCTTATGCACAGAAGATGTGCTTTCGGCTGAAAATGGAAATAAGATAACTATGCCGACAGGTAACAGGCAAAAATCTACCAGAGTGATATCTATTCCATATACCATCCATTAGGAGCTCACAGACAATAGGAGCTACAGAAACAATTCGTTCATCAAACATTGCATACAATTGTGAAATAACAGAAAAATATTATTAGATATTTAATAAGAGTATGTAGACTACAGGATTATGACGGATTCTTAAAAGCAGCTGTTCTTCATTTAGAAAATCATTAAAATGGCTCTTGCAGAAAAAAGGAAATTAAGTCCAAATAAGTTGAGCTCACAGCTAACTTTTATAGCCACTTTTGGAGAAAGAGGTCATGAAGACCATTAATTCTAAATACACAAACTAGTATTATCCCTTTAAATGCCACATCTTTCTCCAGAGACTCAATGACTACATTACTCTAAACAATAGTAAACATGTAATGATGTTGATGATAGCCACGAGCTGAATTTAATGGGATATATTCTGTTTTGTCTTTAAAAACAGGGAACTAGCATCAGACCTTAAAGAAAGGAGTGCCAAATGTCTGCAGCATCTGTAGAAAATCAACTGTACTAACTTCCATAGCATGGAATTACTTCTTTTTTTTTTTTTTTATACGCATTAAGAATGAGACAGACAGTAGAAAACAGGACAAGAAAATAATCATCTGTCATGGTTTAAGCCCAGCTGGTAACTCTGAACCACGCAGCTGCTGGCTCACTCCTTTCCCCTTTTCCCCCCCTCCCTGCTCCCGGTATGAAAGTATTACAAAGACCATCCTACAAAGATAAAGTAGTTAATCTATTTCAAAACATATGTGCAAATACTAGTATTTCTGTGAGGAGTTAAATGCACAGCAATTCAAGGAGGAATGAAGAAGTGTAAGTAGAGAAAGATGAGCTGCCTTGTGAAGAAATGTATTCAAGTCTGTATATGTGAAACTCTGGATACCAGCATTGGGCCCAATCCAGGTACATCTCTAAAGTGGGAAGGGTGGAGTGAGTCTTCACAAGCTCTATTCAGTGTCAAACTTAAGGTAGCCTATGTTCCTAACAAGGATATTGAACAGACCAACAGTGTTTCAGACAAATGATTCTTTTCAGTACTTAAGAATTGGCTATTTAGGAACTCTGGGTATCTAGCATTTAAATTTCTTTAAACAGTCTGCCCCTTCAGGAATGAGAAACTTGCTCCATGACTTAGTGTGTAATTAGGGGATCTGTCCTAACCTCTGTTAGCTTCTACCTAGGCAATGCATGAAAAGTTCTCTTTCACAGTGTTTTTTCCTACTTTTCTAACAATGGAGGAAGCATTTAGATTAGTCTCAAAACACATAATAAGAGTTCCACATCATGGCCAATTATGCAATGCTTGAATCTCTGCAGAGTCCTTTTGTCTTTACTGAAGTGTCATGATGTGTATATTTGGGGGAGAAGAGATTGCAGCTACCATCTTCAGTGACCACAACTGTCCTCAAAGTCTTCAATGGAAACAAATGGAGGCTAGGAGTAAGAACTCACTTTAGTCTGACATGGCAGTTTTTGATTACTTTTAATAGCTTACATAAGGAATTTATCAAAAGAAGCTAAATCCTTATTGTTGTATAAGAGCCTTAGATTACAATGTAAACATAATTACCTTTCTTAATTTTTGTCAACATCCTCTTCTGAAGTAATTCTGAAATATAAATGAAAAAAAAAAAAGAAAAGAAAAAAGTATTAAAGTATTTAGCAAAATCAATCCTGATAATTCTCACCTATGTTACCAGGGTGCTTAACAGTAATGATGAGCACTGAGGAGGAAGAATATAGAATCTCTTCCCCTTCTTTTTTTTCTGAAGGACTGAAGTATCTTTTCCTTTCTATGGAACACCTGCTATACTGAAAACTTGAGGATATGGAAAGTACTGGAATCAAATTATGACGATATTGAATTGTACAGGGAAATTCCTCTTCATGTTACTGGAAACAGAATCATGTATTATGCAATCTTACTCCTCTGAAGTATTTTAGCAGACTAACTTAACCAAAGTGCTGCAACCGCTGATACTGCTAATTGAAGTTGATGTAGTTAGCAGTAAGGACCTTTTGCATGCTAATTCCTTTTGCTATACTATATAGTGTCTGGATAAAGTTTTCATAGTGCTGTTTATCATATTAAAGCCCATTTGGCTAAGTATCTCTGTCTATCATCTTGTTTGCACTGTTCTTTCAGTGAATGATCAGCACTAATGAAGTTGCTACTGCCATTTTTAATGGAGGAGCCTGGGTTTTATTGTACTTGCACAGGAAGCCAGATATCTGAATTCAACCCCGTATTTGTTTACAGTGATTGAAAACAAACCTTCCTGCGCTTCTAGGAAACTTCACTGCTTCACAGCGCACTGAAGCTCTTCTTAACGGCATTATAAAATGCTAGTTTCTAGAAAACTCACCCTTACCCATTGACCTCTTGCATAAGAGCAAAGGGATAGAGTGGTACAGCTAGTGCCTTGCTTAAAGTTGTCTGCTGGAAAGGAAATGCAATCAAACTAATGAAGCAATACATCTGCTTGACTCCAGCCATCTTACGTAGCTACCACGGGCCCCTTAAAAAGATACTAACTCGCTATAGTATATGCCAAGAGTAGCAAGCAGTTCAGTAGCAGAAACACATTACAAGTACTTTTTACTGCTGAAGGCTCTTTGTGCTTCAGTGGATGCAGATCTTCCACAGACCTGCTCATAAAGCATCAGTGTAACCCACAGTCTAGTCTTTGAAACATGAAATTAAGGGGAATGCAAAGGGAAGTATAATTTTAATCTGAATTTCAGTGACATGCATTAGTCTCTCGTGACATGTTTCCCAGAAGGCCTTTAAATCATATACCTAAAGAACATCCCTACAGCCTCTCTGTGGCTTTGTGTGCAAGATACAGCTGCTCTGCGCAACTGATGAGGGTGGGGGATACAGGAGAGCTGTGTCCCATCTCAGCCTGAAGGGACATATTAATAAGACCTCATACTGAAAACAACTACTGCTGGAAAGTAGAGCTGCTGCTGTGCCTTCCTTGTTATGGAAGCACTAAAAGAAGATACTTGAGCCATCTGTAGCCCATCTTTTCTGCAATTCATAATTTTGATAAAGTTCCTCCCCTCCCTTCACTATAACAATCTCTTCAGAGTCCAAAATTGAAATGGGTTTTGCAGTTAATTCGCCACTCATACGTGTTTCTAACTATCCTTTATACCTCCTGTGATTCCTGTTATAAGAGATGATGCAGTTGACTAATAAACTGTCAGCATTAGTTGCACTGCCCTTCTGTGGCATAATCCTAACACAGTTTTTTGATTTTTCTTCTGGAAACATGCCTGTGTTATATTTTCAAGCATTAAGTAAGATGAATACACTACAAAGCTGCAGAGACAGAGTCAGATTTAACAAAAAATATACTGAATTGTATGTTTTTTTACTGAACTGTGTTGGCAAAAGTGGGTTAACTTATTGATTTACTTTGTTCTATAGCTCATGGTTGACAGCATACTCTGTGTGTCATCACATTTTCTCTGCTGTTAGTCATTCAAAGAGTACAGAAATAATGAGCCTTTATTGCTCCAGTTCCTTCTAACAGATTCAATACTTGCATCTATGTACTATTGGATCTATGTACTATTATGCATACACAAAATAATGTACTTGGGCTGGGTACCAAGTTGTAGACACTAAAACAGTTCTCATTTTAAGGGACTGTTTTATACTATGGAGTTATGCCAGTTACATGCCAGTTATATGCCAGTGTAGGATTTGGTCCAGAAGATCTGATTCAGATGCTGTCCCAACATATATGTCAGAATCAAAATAACATTATTAGTCAAAATAGCAACATTAGATTGAAGAAATAATTTTATAGATCTTCACTCATGGGACATGATCAGGACTTTTGGATACTTTACATTCCAAATTCTGTTATTTATCAACCCTGCCTTTTTCATTTTTGCCCTCTGTCTTGGAATTTAAACTCGAATTTAGGACAAACACTCCAAATGACCAGGAAGTAGCATGTTTTGGATAAGACAGTGGCAGCTGAAGTCCTGCAGACTCCAGGAGTGGCAAAAATGCTATAAAGTAACCAACAGCCAACCTGGTGACAGAAAAATATGTGCTGTCTTCACATTCATGATACCAGGTCCCTGTGATCCTGAATGCTAATAAAGAAAAATAATTTTTGTTTTTTTATCTTGAAAGACTATATTCACTAAATTTTATGGAGCCATAACTAGAAACAGATTAATCACAATTTTCTAAACAAAACACTGTAGAAGAGAAGAAAATGCCTTTTAAGGAGGGTTGTTCTCAGAATGATGTTGCCAACGTTTCTTTTTTTAAACTTATATTTATGTATTAACTGTGGAGTTCAGCAGCAAATTTTATTTCCATGCCAAAAATTTAATATGGAAAGAAACTTTAAAGCTGGGTGTCCATAGAGAAAAAAAAACAAACTAGTTAAATCCATGATATATGTTATGAGTTATGGAAGCTGTATGACAGAGGAAGAATTTTAAGTTTAGAAATGCCATTTTTCAGAAAAACAGACAATTACTATGTAAAATATTAATGACAAAAATTGAATCTTTTTTTAACTCCTTAAAATTAATCTGTCTTGAATGCTCATGAAAATATTATTCAATTCTGATAGAGATACATATTCTGGATAACCATACAGAATAAGTAATGATATTTAATATTAAAAAATCTGCCCATGTTGAATTAAGTAGATGAGGGACATCAGTTTCTTTAGCCATAAACCTTTACGGGGTGATGATTAACTAATACTAAATGTAAGTCTTTAACACACAGTTTTTGGTGGGTAGCAACCTTCAGTCCAAATTGGAAGCAACATGAACTCCTGCCTTTTAAGCTTCAAGCACTATATCCCTACCTTCTCTAATAACAAGCACTAAAACTCACATATTCTGGTTGAAGGAAATGACCCAAATATAGAGTATTGGCCTTGAGATAAGAAATCTGAAATCTGTTACTGATTATAAGCTTTGTGTGTGGTTGCATTTAGGGCAAGAGATTTATATTCAAGGAAGATCCTTTATGTCTTTTTTTTTTTTAACTTGAAATGCTAGGTTATGTTAATTAGTAACTAAGGAATTATGATTTCCCTATCATTTTTCATCAGTGGGATGTAATTTCAAGGTATACCTTGTTTTAGTATTGTTAGCACTACGTTTACACATACTACTCTATGTGACTTCTGTAAACAGGGTGAGACTGTGACAGATTCTTACCATGTCTTTCCTGGATCACACCTGGTCTCTGAGGCTCCTTAGTGGATCTTGCCAAAAGCCATTAAAAGGTGAGTTTCAAATTAATCCCTAGAGTAAAATGCATTGAAAAACTGCCATTCACTGCCAATCACATCAGATTGCCAGCAATTTGTTTTTTTTTCACTTTGACAAGTTGTCAGTGAAATTTTGTAGTCTTTTCCTATCTTGTAGTTCTAGAAGCATTAAATTGTTTGAAAGCAAAACATAATTTATTAGAAAAATAACTGGAACCTGCTTCATTTTAGAATTTAAGATTCATATTTGTGGGTTTTGTTATTGGCTTCTTGAATGGATTGTCTAGTGCCAGGTACAGTAACAGAAAGGCATGGTGGTGCCAGCAGATCAGAAAATAGGTGTGAATGGTATAATGGAATAATGCCTTGACTTAGTGAGTAAATAAAATCCATTCTCCTCACTTGAAAGATCAAAGGGATCAAGACCAGGGTTACCTCTTAGGAAGGATGGGTTTTCCTCTGTTAGCTGTTCTTTCACTATTTTCTAATCAGTGAAACTTTGTGCTCATATAAAACGCTTGAGGTTAAATTTTGCTATTACTTATACATACAGTCCCATTGAGGCCTTGTTCCATTCATCCACACTATTCTGTCTCACTTTGTACAGCTGAGAAAGCACCCCTGCTTTACTCTGTAAACACTATTGGAAATTGGTGTAATTAGAGATGTCTCATAAATGTATATAGTCACTTATTCTTTCCCTTGCTGTGGCTGGATTTGATACAGAGGGAGAAAAGTCTGAGGCAGAGAACTGAATTACAGACTTGAGATATTCGCAAAGCCTATGCTGGACAATGACGTGTTGCTGTTGCATTGGTTTGTATTCATGTACCCAAGGAAACGTCAGCTACCTGTATCTGTAGCTGAAAAATAGTATAAGGAAACAGAACCTGTGAAAACTTACTAGTAACTTTTCCTTTCATTTTAGACACTTGTAACTATTTGAAAAATCAGTGGAACTATAAATAGGTATTAAGACTGTATAATATATTATCAAGGCTATATATTTCACTCAGACAGAAAAGATGACTTGTGAGATGTCTTGCTGTGGTCAATGGCTCAATGTCCAGCTGGAGACCAGTAACGAGTGGTGTCCCTCAGGGATCAGTGTTGGGACTGGTCTTGTTCAACATCTTTGTCAATAACATGGACAGTGGGATTGAGTGAACCCTCAGCAAGTTTGCAAATGACACCAAGCTGTGTGGTTTGGTTGATATGATGGAGGGAGGGAATGCCATCCAGAGGGACCTCGACACGCTTGTGAGGTGGGCTGATGCCAACCTTATGAAGTTTAACCATGCCAAGTGCAAGGTCCTACACCTGGGTCAGAGCAATCCCAGGCACAGCTACAGGTTGGGCAAAGAAGAGATTCAGAGCAGCCCTGTGGAGAAGGACTTGGGCATATTGGTTTATGAGAAAATGAACATGAGGGGCAGTGTGTGAAAAAAAGAAAGCCAACTGTATCCTGGGCTGCATCAAAAGGAGTGTAACCAGTAGGTTGAAGGAGGTGATCCTGCCCCTCTACTCTGCTCTCGTGAGACCTCACTTACTGTGTGCAGTTCTGGTGTCCTCAACATAAAAAGGACATGGAACTGTTGGCACAAGTCCAGAGGAAGGCCATGGTTATGATCAGGGGACTGGAGCACCTCCCATATGAAGACAGACTGAGAAAGTTGTGGCTGTTCAACCTGGAGAAGAGAAGGCTGCATGAAGACCTCATAGAAGCTTTCCAGTATCTGAAGGGAACCTATTATAGGATGCTGGAGAAGGACTCTTCATTAGGGACTGTAGTGACAGGAAAAGGGGTAATGGGTTCAAACTTAAACAAGGGAAGTTTATATTGGATATAAGGAGGAAGTTCTTTACTGTAAGGATGATGAGGCACTGGAATGGGTTTCCCAGGGAAGTTGTGAATGCTCCATCCCTGGTGATGTTCAAGGCCAGGTTGGACAGAGCCTTCGGTGTCATGGTTTAGTGTGAGGTGTCCCTGCCCATGGCAGGGGGTTGGAAACAGATGATCTTAAGGTCCTTTCCAACCCTAACTATTCTATGATTCTATGATTCTGTGATTCTATTATTATATCTACTGTTCGAGTAAATGCCAGACACCCTGAGCTTTACTCCCTGCTCTGACTGAAGGACAGCCTGTGGGCTTCACTAATTTTTCTGTTGGCTTACCACCCTTCTTTTTCCATCAGTAAAAGGGAAGACAATAAATTGTTTATTTACAGCACCTGGCTTATTGGTATCATATGTTTAAGTCTGCAGATTCTGAGGATTAGAAGCATGATGACCAACATTATTAAAATACTACTTAGGGTAATCATAGAACAGTTAAAGAACTCTAAAGGCCACCTAGTTCCAATCCCCTGCCACAGGCAGGGACACCTTTGACTAGACCGGGTTGCTCCAAACCCTGTCCAGCCTGGCCTTGAACACTGCCAGGGATGGGGGAGCCACAGCTTGTCTGGGCAACCCATGCCTCACCACCCGTATAGGGAAGAATTTCTTCCTGATATTTAATCTGAATCTCCCTACTGTCAGTTTAAAGTCATTCCCCTTATTCTATCCCTACGTGCCCTTGTAATGTGCACATTAGTCCCGATCATTATTTTCACGCTGGGATGGGAGACAGATACTTACTCTGATGTCTAGAAACAATCTAGTGACACAATTCATAGTATTTTTTTTCACGAAATACAAATGTGTTATGAAACAGACAATGTAACATATTTAAGACCTGATCTAAATACTACATAGATGTGAATTCTGGAAGGGACAGAGGTGGGTAGCAGAGACATATACATTTAATACAGACAAAGCATGATGCTATAAATCATCTTGTATTATATATATATATAGTCTGTTTGGATCAGAAACCCCCAAAAGCAACTTCTGAAAACAATTTTCTAATTTGAAATTTCTGGAAGCATTTTTTGTAACATACATAAACTTGCTGTGCTTGCAAGTGACCTCTGCTGATCCTAGAAGTTATAAATTTATATCCTGGATACCAACTCAGTGCTACAGAACCAGCAGTTTTTTAGTTTTCTGGAAAGGCCCAGGGCTAGCACAAGTTATAAAAACAGGGCAAACGAATTAACACCTACCAAGATGTGCATAGCAGTAATGTGTTATCAGGGCACATGTTTAATAGGCAGGAGAGAGTAACAATTTAAATTTGATTGTGTTGGCCATCCACAGAATAACCTGTAAACTGCAGAATTGCCCAGCATCACTGTCTTGATCTCAGTAACACCCAATGACGTATTCTGCTGCTTGGCAAGGCATATGTGACTGAGAAGTACCTTCTAGTGAGAATGAATCATAGAATCATAGAATGGTTTGGGTTGGAAAGGACCTTAAGATCACCTAGTTCCAACCCCCTCCCATGGGCAGGGACACCTCACCCTAGATAGTGTCACCCAAGGCTCCATCCAACCTGGCCTTGAATACTGCCAGGGATGGAGCATTTACCATTTCTTTGGGCAGCCTGTTCCAGTGCCTCACCACCCTCACAATAAAGAACTTCTTCCTTCTATCTAAGCCGAACTTCCCCTGTTTAAGTTTAAACACGTTACCCCTTGTCCTATCACTACAGTCCCTGATCATAGGGACATAACACATTAATTAATTAATTTAAAATAACTGGAAGCAATTTAAAGCTAACTAAGAAGGAAAGGGGCATAAAGGAAGGGGGGTGGTATCTTTCAGGGCTGGGGGGAGGGGGGGGGGGGAACCAAACACCAATCTTAGCTATGGCAGACACAGCCCTTCAGGTGGCAACACAGTGTCATAGTTTAAGTACAGCTGGCAGCTCACAATCTCGAAGCCGCTTGCCCTCTCCTGCTCTTCTTCCCCTTCCTGTTCCCGGAGGGATGGGAAGGAGAATCGAAAGAATGTGAATCCCACGGGTTGAGGTAAGAACAGTCCAGTAACTAAGGTGTAACACAAAACCACTATTTCTACCACCAATAATGATAAGGAAAATAACAAGGGGACAGAATATAAAACTAACAGGGGAAAAAAATAAACACAAGTGATGTAAAATACCACTACAAAAATGCTCACCACCTGCAGACCAATACGCAGCCCCACCCAAGCAGCGATCTGGCCTTCTGGGTAACTTCTCCAGTTTACATACTGGGCATGAAGTGTTGTGATATGGAATACCCCTTTGGTTACTTTGGGTCAGGTGTTCTTTCTCTGCTTCCTCCTTGGTTCCGTGCCCCTCCTCACTGGCTGAGCATGAGACTGAAAAGTCCTTGATCAGAGTAGGCATTACTTAGCAACAACTAAAACATCAGTGTGTTATCAGTACAGTTCTCAGACTGAAGTTGAAAACAGCCCTGCACCAGCTACTAAGAGGGAGAAAAACAACCGTTACAGCTAAACACAGGACACACTTGAAAAATCTTTCCTCTTACCTCAAACTCTAAATAGATGAACATCTAATGCATGAATTCACTTGGGAAAAAAAAAAAAACAACAAACCAACAACAAACCCTACATGTTTGGTATACTATATTAGGGTTATCATACACCCTTGAGGAGATCTTTATTCTGGTATTTTCTATTCCTATTGCTCCCCCTCAGTACTTCTCTCACTATCGGTTCCTGTTTAGACAGCCAGACACATTCTACCTAATTCCCATGAAAGCAAGATCCATATTAGGTAGGTATCCAGAGGACACTCTCAATAAAGTTCCTTTGGACTCTAAAAACATGAACTTGTCAAAGTTCTAGATCCACTGCCTTTAACATTCAATTGTAAGAATCCTATGACTTTCATGCATTCCTGTAAGGAACAGGAGTTGGTTACTTTCATGAGGCTAAAAGCCCTAGTTACAAGGATCATTTTTTATAGAAAAGACAACATTCAAGAATCACTTCCTTCATATTCTGCTGGGTATCATATTTTGGATCTCATTTTCTTCTTTCAACAAAACAGATTTTTTATGACAAACAGCTATAACTGACACTTTTTAGTGAAAATTGTTTACAACTGTAGTTCTAATTATGTTGAGTCATAGCAGATGCCCAAGATTTTGGACAGCTTCTATCAGTTCCTCAAGTAAAGGAGAAACCTGGGATGAAAGTTATTTTAGGTACTCTGAAAGCAATAAAGGACATCTGTGCTGCCCACCAGCTTAGCCCAGACTTAGAATAAATTTTAATTTAAGAACTCATTCAAAACAAGGGCTCTAGCTAGAAAATAAGCTTTCTTTCACTGGTCTCTCTAGAAGGTCCACTAAAAGAAGTCACACTTATCTTTTCCAAATCCTGAATATTTGCTTGCGCAGTGTAAAGTAATTCAGATAACTAAAACCAAGTATAGTACTTGGGAACAAAATTAAAGGCATCTCATTACTGTATTAATAGGAACTGAAGAGGGCCTCTACTTCCAAAATTCAGATGGCTTGTGGATGAGAAATAACATGCAAATAAAGAATAAATATAAGAGAATGTGTACTGGCCTGTTACCACACACTTCTTCTGACATTCTTCCAGTGTTAGAAAGTTGTTTTCATTGCCGTGGCATCCACCATATTCAAATATTTCACACTCATGGCTTTGAATATTGAAGTAATAGCGCATATGGATTGCTTTGCATGGACCTTCATCTGCTTTCATGGCACAGACTGAATGCCCTAGTTTCAGTGGTGGCAAAGCAGCACCTGTAATACAGAAGAGAGGTAGAACAGCTGTTATTAAGTTAGCTTGCTTCACTGCACAGCATGACTTCAAAATAAGGGTGCTTGCATCTTCTGCTAGAAAGGCACTACATAACATCTGGCCGTAAAGCTCTGACCACTCTAAACATAAATGTAGAAAGAAAATCGTCATCTGTACAGGGACACAAATTCCATTTGATCAAACTGAGTGTGTGAGTTCAAGTTTTAACCGAAACAGCTCACATTATAAACTTTAACTTCTCATCATAAACATCTTCCTCCCATCCACCTCCCATATGAAGACAGGCTGAGAAATTTGGGGCTGTTCAGCCTGAAGAGGAGAAGGCTGCATGGTGACCCCATAGCAGCTTTCCAGTATCTGAAGGGGGCCTACAAGGATGATGGGGAGGGATTCTTCATTAGGAACTATAGTGATAGGATAAAGGGTAATGGGTTCAAACTTAAAAAGGGGAAGTTTAGGTTAGATATAAGGAAGTTCTTTACCGTGAGAGTGGTGAGGCACTGGAATAAGTTGCCCAGGGAAGCTGTGAATGCTCCATTCCTGGCAGTGTTCAAGGCCAGGTTGGACAGAGCCTTGAGTGACATGGTTTAGTGTGAGGTGTTCTTGCCCATGGCAGGGGGGTTGGAATTAGATGATCTTAAGTTCCTTTCCAACCCTAACTGTTCTATGATTCTAATATCTAAACAGCTATGGAGCTAGTAAGCAATTCTGAACAAGAAATACATTGAGAAAATCCTAGTGGCTCCTAAAGACACAACAGCTACATAAAAAAGGCAGAAAGAGTGCTCCCTTCAATGCATGTCTAATAGTGAACATAGCTTATACAGAGACTTCTCGTAGCAGTGTGGGATGAACTAGGCAAGACAGCCCTGAAGAGGGCACCATTCCCCCATCAGATTACACTTTATTGACGCATAAAGCCATTCAATACAATAGAAATGTCATCATCCTGTCTTTTTTTCTTTGGTCTCACTGTTCTTGCATTAGAGCTTTCGGGAGTAAAGAAGTACACAACTAGAAAGTTAAGGTGAAAAGAAACCGTATGTTTTCAAACTGTGCTATTTCTATGCCTTTCAATGTTTTCAAAGGGAATGTTTTGTAACAAAATGTCATATATATAATGAAAAACACTATTGAAGTCTTACACTGTTAATGTCTAATAAGGAAATTCTGACTGACGATCCAGTTTGTGATACTGTTCCCTTATCAATATATGGTTTAATATCTTTTCCTGCTTTGCTTTTCCTAGGAACTATTTTACCCTAGAGGACTTTGAAAGCTTTATGAAGCCTGTGTGCTTGTAACAGCAGCAAAAAAAAAAAAAAAAAACAGGCCTAAAATTTTCATTCATTTTCCCACAGCTAGTCAGAACATTAATGTCTCTTAACACGTATATGCAAATGTATCCATCAGTGCTCTTTGCAGCAGTCCAGAAAACAGGAGGGGAAAAGAAAAAAAAACAAAAAAAAAAACAAACCACAGAGGACAAGAATTTACATGACCATTGCACAGCTTTGTACTACTAACTAGATAAAGTTTCCAGTTTTAATTTAAAGAATCCATAAATATCAGACTTTATGACATGGTAAAAACAAAATTGGTGTAACTACTATCTACCTCCACGGTGGATATCTGGTTTTAACATATAAAGTTTACCTTATTTTATAACCTTTAAGCGAAATGCACAGGTGAGATAAATACTCATAAATACTGAGGTCAGTAGACGTTTACTAATTTTATTCCATTTGAGTCACTTGTAACTCATTAAACCTATAGGAAAGAAACAATTTTCAGCACTAAAATTTCAGCATTCAAATACTAAAAAAATTAACAACCTTTATTACACAATTGTCATCCACACAAAAATTGTAGCACACTATTATATTTTCAAAAAATGGACAATTTGGTGTTAAAATACAGATTACAATTACTATTTTCAAAACTCTTATTAAATATTCAGTCCCTAAAATAGTTTGTGACTGTTTCCTCACTAGTGAAATTTTATTTCCAGAATTTGAAGTCAGGAATTTGAAAATATTATTGAAGACTTTTATTGAATTATTCCTATTATTGAATAGGAAATGCAGATGAGTTAAAAGAAACATTTTTAAGAGTCATTAGATTCAGTAAACTTCCTATAGAACTCTGCTTGCATTTCTGACTTTCATTTCTTGCCAGCTTCCTTATCTGAATCTTCCTGAGTCCACAAAGTATTAGGATTTAGAAGTCACAAGAGATTCCAAATTGGTCCTCAAAGGTTTAAAGTTCTCCACCAGGTCTGGGAATCCTTTGGAAGGGACTTAATAAAAAGGCTCAACATTGAGAATTGAGATGATACTGCACTGCAAAATGAAACTTTGGAATTCCCCCATTCAGTAGTAGGGAAAAAAATGGCTTCATAACATCAAAGTTTGTGGAACAACTCCTGAAATGGTAAAAATCACATTCAGGGCTCTACAGAAGCTGATCCAACTGAAATATGGTTGGGGTGAGGGATGGCAACTGGTTTATAAACACATTATTTTCTTGAAATACAAGAAATGAAATCTGTATGACCTGTGTTAGTGACCTCAGTTCAGTCAAGGAGGAGGTTGTGAAAACTTACTAGGTTTCCTAACTACTGGAATTTCAGACATAAGGTTATGTCAGCTCATTTTGCTTTCTACATTATGCCACAACACCGCTGTGGACTATCAAAAAAGAAACAGTGTGCAAGCATAGTTGCAAAACTACAAAGATGATGAACAAATGGCTCAGTACAGTTTATCTTAGGAACTTTCTGGTCTCAACTCCTAACCTATTTCACATCAAACCTACATAACAAAATCCTTGTTTTGCTTACCTCCTGAGGCCTTTCCTCTGCAGTCACAATGACACTGTCAGTCAGATGTACTGACATCTGCTGCATACATAAATACTGTGTGTCCTGGGCTCAGCTGTAGCAGTCATTTTTAGCTTCTTAGTAGCTGGTGCAGGGCTGTTTTCAACTTCAGTCTGAGAACTGTACTGATAACACACTGATGTTTTAGTTGTTGCTAAGTAATGCCTACTCTGATCAAGGACTTTTCAGTCTCATCTTCTGCCAGTGAGCAGGGGCACGGGAAGCCAGGAGGAAGCAGAGAGAGCACCTGACCCAAAGTAACCAAAGGGGTATTCCATATCGCAGCACTTCATGCCCAGTATATAAACTGGGGGAAGTTACCCAGAAGGCCAGATAGCTGCTTGGGTGGGGCTGCGTATTTGTCTGCAGGTGGTGAGCATTTTTGTGGTGGTATTTTACATCACTTGTGTTTATTTTTTTCCCCTGTTAGTTTTATATTCTGTCCCCTTGTTATTTTCCTTATCATTATCATTATTATTGGTGGTAGCAGTAGTTGTTTTGTATACCTTAGTTACTGGACTGTTCTTATCTCAATCCGTGGGATTCACATTCTTTCGATTCTCATCCCCATCCCTCCAGGAGCAGGGCAGGAGGAAGGAGGGGAGTGAGCTGTGTGGTTCTGAGTTACCATCTGGGCTTAAACCACAACACCATGTCATACTTTTTGGCTATCAGATGTTTATTTTCTTAGGAGTGCTATCAAGTTACTGTGTGTTGACTAAAATCCGTACCCTTTATAACCCCCGTGTGCCAAACCCTCCAATTCAAACAATAACCAAGTGACTCTGAAGAAAGAAGTCTCAAAGGGATTCATGGGAACTGAATCATTCTTGTGTCTGGGAACAGTGAAAGAATTCTTCCCCATTATTTTACACCTGGGAAAACTTAACTCATGGAGATGATAAAAAAAAAAAAATCAAAATCTGATTGTACTAATTTTTCATATGAAATATACCTCAAGAAAACTAATTCTCAGTATAAGGACTCCTTCTTTGCTCTTGAACAGTGAAACAAATTATTACTACTACATTTTAGGTCCTGTGTGAAGAGCACAGGATATGACATTTAGGGAGAATGTCTGTCAGGAAGGTCACTGAATATTCTCCAGTAGAAACATGGGAAGCTAAAACTGGAAGGAATTTTAAGGGAATTTTAAGGAAATTTAAGGAATTTTAAATTTGACTTTTGGCATATTTCTATGGAATAAATACCTTGAGACCTTTCCTGACAGCTGTCCAAATTGTTCTTTAAAAATAAATAAATAAATCCAGTGAAGTAAACTTTCCAGCCACCTGAAGCAGTCAGTTCCCTGTCTACTACCCTTCTTGCAAGATAGTCCTGTTTTGTAATATACAGCCTAAATATTCCTTCTTACATATTAAACCTTTTTGTACTTCCTTCAGTGTACAGACAGACTAATACCATATATATAACCAATTTATTTTGATCTACCTGGATCTCCCCAAGTCTTTGAACATAGTTTCCCTCAACCTCCTCCCGGAAAAACGGGTGTCTTACAGCGTAGACAAGTGATCAGTGCAGTGGGTGGGGAACTGCCTGACTGGCCACACCCCAAAGGTGGTGGTGAATAGCTCATTTTCTAACTGGAGATCTGTCAAAAGTGTGGTCCCCCAGGGTTTGATATTGGGCCCAACACTGTTCAGTGTTTTTGTAAGTAATCTGGAAGATGAGATCAAGTGTAACCTAACCAAGAGGTTTGCCAATGGTACCAAATTGAGTAGAGAAGTAGACACTTCAAATGGAAGAACCACCATGCAGGAAGACCTGGATAGGCTGGACAAGTGGGCTAAGAAGAACCTTATGAAGTTCAACATGTTCTCCTTCTTAAGTATAGCATCTTGCATTTGTTATTTTAAAAAGAAAATTAATTTAGCCCTCCACAATGAACCTAGCACTGTTGGATATTTATTACTCATCTGATTTAGGTATCTGGTCCAGAGAAACTTGGAAAATCCATATAAATATAGCACTGTACTACCCTAGACCAAGAAAATTGAGTCTGTTTCATTAGAAATACGTTAACTAATGGTTACAGCTGATGCTCACTGTCACATGAAAGTTATTACTTGCCATACTAGAACCAAAATAAAGCAAAGCGAAACCTCCTCTCCTTCTCCCCCTCCTCCTTGATTTTTTAATATAATAGCTTCATTACACCAGTTACATAGGTTTTTATAACAGAAGACACTAACAGCACTAAAGCTCTGTTTTAACTATCATCTTTCCACTCCATAGTTTGTGGTAAGAGCAAAGTAATGCTGTTGAAATGGCTCACAATGAGCATGAACTTAGATTTTATGTCACTGCCTTCTTCCTCCATTCTTTCAGTCTTCTTTTGGCAAATGCCAGCAACAGGATACTGGCCAAGACTGTTCCTACATAGCACAGCCATTCTCACATTTATTGTCATTCACATGGTAGAATTTGCAACTCAATTATAAATGTTTCTCTTTGATAAGTGATATCAATACTAAACACCTTGCCACTAAGGAATACCCCTTTCTTCTCTCCCCGTCTTTATCAGTTTGACAGCTTTCCACGGGCACACAGTTCAGTGCTCTTCCTACCCATGTGTTTCCTACCCCTTCTTTAAGCAGTCACATTTATTCTTGATAAAATTTCACATACGAATAAAATGCACATTCAACTTGTGAGTCATTTCCTTCAGGCTTTGGAACACCAAGTAAAGTGCTCCCAACCACATAAGGTATTACTGACCAACATACATACACTAGTTAGTTTTATACCTTTTATTTTTGCTATTACCCTTATTGATTGGTGGAAAAATGACATGTTTTGCCAGAAGTTAGCAAATTGAAAATCCTTTTGTACCCCATTGTACTTGACTTGCAACCTTAATTATTACTGTAATTTAAATACTAATAGACAAAAAATCCCATCATATTCACAAAGCAGTGGTATCCAATGTGATCAAAAAGTATGACATTACTATAATAATGGATGCACACTACTTACTTTATCCTTTAATACCTGAAATTTATTGAATTAGAGGGTAAAATATGTCAATTTCTCATAATCATCTAACTCAGAAAATAAATGCTATCAGTGAAATTGCAGCATACAAAATTGCTACAGTTACATTCACTGAGACCAGAATTTCACTCTTAAGAAACCACAAATAGAATTTTAATTAGCAACAACCTAATCATTTTATAGAGAGTACTGAAAAGTTTTTTTTTTTAAACACTACTACAGAGTCATCAGTAGTTGCAAAAACAGGGTCCTAGTTTAATTTCTAAGCATCACATTTGTTTGTTTTTTACTTTTGAATACAAACCCAAAAGTTCAGAACTGTTCCTCATACTAAATCAATTATTGGCATCTTGAGTTATCTTGAGTAACTGGTTGTAAAATAAACAGTGATAAAATAATTCCCCCCCCCCCAAAAAAAAACAAAACAAAACAACAAAACTATTTAATTTCTTTGAGATTATTTTCTTACTGTCTTTCATAAAGAAAGTAAAAAGAAGAAAAACAATTAATCCAGCAGATTTTTTGTTCTGATGATGAAGTGTGTTATTTTAGCAAGCAAGACAATTTGGTCTTTGTGATCTGCAAACTTAAGATAAGGATTTTTATAAAGCTGAATTACAGGACAAAGTTACGTGTGATTTTGCCCTCAAACAAGAAGGGAGTGTATGTAGTTCAGGATTAAAGAGAAATAGACTTATTCTGTATGAAACAATCTTGACTCTGCAACATGCTAAGCATATGCTTAATGCAGAACAGCGCATATCATAGAGACTAATTGGGACACAGTTCTAGAGCACTACCTTCATTTGTAGTATAGCCTTGATTGTGCATAATTAATATTTTTGTTTCAAGGAACACTGCTGCAAAAGTCTGATAATGAGAAAAAACCTGGATGGAAATTGAAAAAGACATGGAAATATTAAGTATAGTGACAACACACAAAAAAGGGCTCCCCTTAGCTGCATTCCCAGTTAGGCTTCAAAATCAAACCTGTCAAATGGGAGCAGTATCCACTGCATAGTTCTTTGCAGCTTAAGAAAGAGATCAGTTTTAAATCATTTTCTCAAAGGAAAGAAGAACATTTTGGTATGGCCCCAAAAGTCTTTTTGCTTTCTCAAAATTGCTTGGGAGTAAATTGATATATCTTTCACAATGATATCTAGTAGAGAAGTTTGATCCACCCTACTTAATTTCAGCGAAGTGAAAGAAAACAATGATCTTACAAATGGAAAGAATCAGAGAACCTTCTAAGTTCTAACAGTCCCACTTCTGACATTATTTTTCTTAACAAAAAACTCTTAACTGGTGAGTTTTCATTTATCCAGCAACAGCAAATCGCTTGGAGAGCTTCTTCAAATCACAAAGAGCTTCTTCAAATCACAGAAAAAAAGGCTAGAGTAGTAATTACAGCATCTTTAGGCCAAGCTTTGCAAATTAACTGTGACTCGAGAGAGTTGTACACAGGACAGAGTAACAATGATCTGCAATGTTATTCATCCCATTTTTGCTCCATTTGTGTGGTGTGGGGAGATAAAACCTGAATTCACTAACTGTATGATCTTAATCATTCCCTAAACATTGAGCTTTTCCATGGGTCCTAAAGTAGAGCTGTAAGAGAATAATTTTGATATCTAGCACAATGTTTAATAGGATTTGAAGCTCCAAAAAGCATGGGAAACAGAAGCCAGTATAGAAGACAATTTTCTAGAGCATAATGCAAAATTCTGAGAATCTCCCTCTTAGAAATCAGTGCATTGTTAGCCTAGTTCCAATTTCAAACATTTCCCAGACCTATTGTCAAGTACAGAATTACATCTAAAGTGCATTTTAACATAGTGGGGTTTTGTTGTTTGAGAAAACGTGATGTTTTTGTAACCTCTTACCCAGGACATCGTCGTCTTCTCTGTCATCTAAGTCAGTAGTTGCATGCCCAGTGATACAGACGAACAGCAAGATAAAGGTTAAAGGCAAGGAACAGCCCTTCTTTCTTCCTTTCATCTTTCCTGTAGAACACGTAAATGACAACACACACTTCAGTCAACTCCTTGAGTGCTCTGTACAAGTCACAAGCAGGGTAGTGCATAGCCATATGCACTATGGCTATGGGTAGATATACAAACTTGGAACTATAGAAATCATGTGAGCTATGTTATTATATTGTAAACATAATGAAAACCAAGACAAGATTTATAGTTGTGCTGAGCTGATTGCAAGCCTCCTATCCTATTGCCAGTATTAAAGACATTGATATTACTTTTATTTCAAGCCACAATTGAAATCACCTCCCAGAATACATAATGATACAAAATGTAACACTTAATACTTTTAATGTCCTGACCAGTTTCACACGATTTATAGTTGACTGGCATGTACAATCCTTCCAAATAAGTTTTACTCTGTCTGCAGACCCTAGATTCATTGCCACAAAGCAAGATTCTATTTTTAACAGATATTTCATCAGTTGATAGCTACCAAGTTCCCAGACTTCTGTGTAAGCTGCATTTCACAGGAGCTGGTGAACTTTTTGCAACAGGGGCTTCAGTACCATGAGAAGTATTTCGTACCTTGAAGATCTCTTTAATATCGAATACCTTACTTTAGTGTAGAGCCATTTTTTTCCTCTCATAAGAACAGTATAACCATAGTCATTCACACAAAGAAACCACTTTTATTCCATGGCAGCTGTTGTGTTCAAGTTGACAAAGAGGAGGTAACATATGCACATATGTGAGCACCTCTAAAAAACTTGTGCTTAACTGTGTTAGAAATACGTATTTTCCAACTGACTAAAAGTTCCTGAAGGATCTCTGGAGTCTAAAATTTGGCTAAGCCAATTAATATTGATTTAATAGAAATTAAGGATCTAAGGACTAGGAAGTTCCTAGCCTTCAGACACCATTTTGTCTTTAGTGTTTTCCTTTGCACACCTTTGAAGATAGATTGTCTGCAGCACCTAAAACAGTGAGGGCAGGAGAGGCTATAGAAGCAAATGAGATGACCTGTCATTGTGTGCTTGCGATACGGAGCTATATCAGGAAGGCTAAAGAGAGGATGATGAAGGGGCAAGTGACATTAACAGATTAAATAATTTAACAGATTAAACTTTTCTCTTAATGATACATCTTTTTCTGTGAAGTCAGAAGTAAACCACAGCTATCGTATCTAAGAAAACACTAGTAAGCAATGATGTCTCAGAAGGTGAAATTCGTGCCAAGAGAGATTAACCAGTTTGCCACAGCCACTCTGAATTGTGCCAGAGCTAGAAGGTGCAGTTATATCTTCAACACCAAATCAGAGCCAGAATTTTCATTTCTCTCTTGACAACGTGTCAATTTTTTCCTCCTGCATATTCAGCATTTTCCTAAGTAGAAATACTAAACTGTCTTAAAAAGTAAGTGTTGTTTAAATTGCAGACCAAACCATAAATAGCACTAATTATTTGGATGATTTTTTCAACTTCAGAAGGCTTCAGTATGTAGTTTAGTGGAAAAGCATTGACAGATGTCTTCATTCTTTTGTGTGTGTGTGTGCGTTGTGTGTGTGTGGGGGTAATGGAACAGAATTTTGCGATCTAACAAATTTCTATTTGAACTGGAAAATATTATAGTGTTAACTTTTTAATCATAATACGTTCATGCCAAAATAAACAAAAGAATGCATTTATCTTTCATTCCTTCTAAGCTCAATGTTTAAGCTTAATTTACAAATAAAATCCTTTATCCCATAAAGTTTACCAAAATAATTTAGATCTCATTTTGTGCTATTAATCATGATTTTTAAACAAACTTTCCTCAAAGTCTGTATTTTATTTCTGTGAACAAATTCAGAAATTGTTGCTTCTACTACAGAGGCAATTACTACTCTTGGAATAGAAATGACCTTGTTGTGAATTCTGAAATGATGTTATGCTAAGAAAATGTGCAAGAGCTACAATTGTTCATTTCTAGGTGTTTTTCAAAGAAACACAAACAGTGTCTTTATTCATGTTTCTAACTAGAACACCAGTTTTCATTCCTATATTATTTTACATATTAAAACTTAATAAGGTATTATTTTTCCCCTTTCCGCCGCAACAAATTTCTATTGATCCATTTGCTCCATTCAGACTGAATAATCCATAAATAATCTACACCCAATCTCTTTACTGGAGGAATTAACTGTGGGCTACTTAGCTGACTGCAGGATATCCCTGCAGCATTGCTATAATGGGCAAAAAACACAGCACTGGGCTATGGATTTGTTATTTCACTCTAACATGCCAGACTTAAGTATATTCATTAATACTACTGTCTACATTTACTTGTGTACCCCATCTGCTCTCATTTGCCTTTCCTTTTTTTCCCCCTGTTTGGAAGTATCTTGTTTACATGTGATAATATTTCCATTTTCTAATGCCATCCTCCTCCCAGCTGTTGTCCCAGTGTTATTTCACCCCGACTTTTCTAAATATTACAACATAAAGGAAAGGAAGAGTATTTCTGAAATTTTATTTTTTTATACATATATATAAAATAAATATAGCATAATATATATATGTGTTTATATATATGTATATATATTATTGCTATCCACTGAGTACTTCTGTGTTTTCCAGTCAAAGAACACATATTCCCTCTCCATCTTTTTCTGGGTACAGTACATACTATAACTTAAATTGAAAGCAAAGTGGCTATTATAGACCAAAGGCAATGGCCAGCTTCAGGAACTTTGCCCTGAATTTGATCAGGCTCTGTAAAAGTGGATGAAGTTTAATGCCAAAATATCCACCAAAGCATATCTTTAGACACTACCTGGAGACACTATCTGGCAAAAATAGTGCCTTAGACTTCAGACACTAGAAATAAATCACATACATGATAAGCAATATTTTTTTTACATATCAAAATAATACCATGTAAGACTGTAACACAAACCCCAAATAAACCAAGAAAACATCTTTAAATGGAATTCCATTGACTACATACAAAGTGCATAGAGGTAACACTGTTTCTTCTTAGCTTTCATAGAACTGCCTGAATGCCTGCATGCAAAGAGTTGTGGTCAATAGCTCAATGTCCAGTCGGAACACAGTAACGAGTGGTGTCCCTCAGAGATCAGTGTTGGGACCAGTCTTGTTCAACATTCGTCAGCGATATGAACACTGGGATTCAGTGCACCCTCAGCAAGTCTGCTGATGTCACCAAGCTGTGCGGTTCAGTTGACATGCTGGAGGAAAGGAGTGCCATCCAGAGGGACCTTGAAGTGCTTGTTGTGAATGCTCCATCCCTGGTGGTGTTCAAGGCTGGGTTGGACAGAGCCTTGGGTGACATGGTTTAGTGCGAGGTGTCCCTGCCAGTGGCAGGGGGGTTGGAACTAGATGATCTTAAGGTCCTTTCCAACCCTAACTATTCTATGATTCTGTAGTTCATTCTATGGTTTCCAGAAACAGACTACCTCTTACGATGCATTTGGCCTAATACCAGAAAGATTTTCTTTCATGAAGAGCTTTGTGGCCTTGGAAAAATTTTATTTTTTTATCCAAAAGTTAGAGAAATAGTTACAGCAATCTTTTTATTCAAACCTGATAAAACGTCTAATCATGCTTTAAAAAAGGAAGAAAATAACTGCACAAGGCAACACGAAGTTGTGTAAGATTGCCTGTAGGATTTGAGAGACATCCGAGTCATGATGTATGCTTGACACCAACTATAATCAAAATAAATCCACAACTAAGAAAAATTGTATGGGCAGAAATATTAAGTAAAAGCTTTCAAACAACTGCACAAGTATTTAACAGTATAATGTAAATAAAGGTTATGACAGTTGACATCATCTAGGCTGAATAAAAGCAGAAATACCATCAGCTTTTCAGACTTGATACTTAGATAGTGATAACCTTCACATTTTAGAATCATAGAATAGTTAGAATTATAGAATAGAATTAAAGAATTATATTCTCTTCTTCTATTTTATTCTATTCTATTTATTGAACTGGAATTCTGCGGTGGATGGATGATGGCAGAGCGGTGGATGCGGTCTACTTTGACTTCAGCAAAGCATTTGACACAGTCTCCCACAGCATCCTCACAGCTAAATTGAGGAAATGTGGTCTGGATGATCAGGTAGTGAGGTGGACTGTGAACTGGCTGAAGGAGAGAAGCCAGAGAGTTGTAGTCTATGGGGCTGAGTCTAGTTGGAGGCCTGTAACTAGTAGAGTGCCTCAAGGGTCAGTACTGGGACCGGTATTATTTAATATATTCATCAACGATTTAGGTGAGGGAATTGAGTGTACTATCAGCAAGTTTGCTGATGACACTAAGCTGGGAGGAGTGGCTGACACGCCAGAAGGCTGTGCTGCCATCCAGTGAGACCTGGACAGGCTGGAGAGTTGGGCAGGCAATAACTTGATGAAATATAACAAGGGAAAGTGTAGAGTCCTGCATCTGGGCAGGAACAACCCCAGGTTCCAGTATAGGTTGGGGAACGACCTGTTAGAGAGCAGTGTAGGGGAGAGGGACCTGGGGATCCTAGTGGACGACAGGATGACCATGAGCCAACACTGTGCCCTTGTGGCTAAGAAGGCCAATGTCATCCTGGGGTGTATTAGAAGGGGGGTGGTTAGTAGGTCGAGAGAGATCCTCCTTCCCCTCTACTCTGCCCTGGTGAGACTGCATCTGGAATATTGTGTTTAGTTCTGGGCCCCTCAGTTCAAGAAGGACAGGGACCTGCTGGAGAGAGTCCAGCGCAGGGCAACAAAGATGATTAAGGGAGTGGAGCATCTCCCTTATGAGGAAAGACTGAGGGATCTGGGTCTCTATAGTTTAGAGAAGAGGAGACTGAGGGGTGACTTTATCAGTGTCTATAAATATATAAAGGGGGAGTGTCACGAGGATGGAGCCAGGCTCTACTCAGTGGCAAACAATGATAGGACAAGGGGTAATGGGTACAAACTGGAACACAAGAGGTTCCACTTAAACTTGAGAAGAAACTTCTTCTCAGTGAGGGTGACAGAACCCTGGAACAG